GATGCACACTTATATCCTGCTGCGTTAATATCTCTAAAAATAACATTATGGTCATAATTTTCTGGGTGTCAGCACAAAAATTGTGTGCTCGGTATTCGAAAGTCGACAAAGGCCTGGTCCTGAATGGCAAAAGTTTTACCAGTGAAAAAGTTATAGAGGTGTTTGAAAAGGTGGTAGTCGGTAGGTGCTGCTGACGCAATTTTTTATACATTCCGTCGATTTCCTTACAAAAGGACTTTTCTGTAATGGTTTGGCCCGCTTGCAAAAATTTATAGTAAATCAATATGTTTTAAACCAAAAAAAAAGCATGGGAGCTGACGCTTAGTTCTTCTGTCATCAAACGCACCGTTTGTAATGGGTTCGTCTTCACCAGAGTTCTCAAATCCTCGTCATGTATTTCTGTAGGTCGACCACTTCGGGGCTCATTTTCGAAGCTAAAATCTCCGGAACGAAATTTCGCAAACAAACGTCGCACAGTGCATTAACCCTATCATTGCCATGCCAAATACCTGTTCAATTTTTCTGTTTCAACAGCGCTTTGGTTCAATTTGAATTCGTAAAAAAATTGGACGAAAATTGCCTAGCGACATCATATAGTAATAAGGTGAAAAGAGGATAAAAATTGGAATTTGGAAAACATGAAAAGCATCAATGTATAACGTAAAAAATTCTCTATCGATCAGAAAATACCACGACACGGTAGAATTAATATTTATTGAGATATGGAGCTACAAAAACACATTTCAAAACGGGAAAAACTTTTGAAACAACCTAATATAATATTTTCGTACGCTGGTGAATTCAATAAAGTACGAAACGTCGACAAAACTCAAATTTTCGTCTCGCATAAAAACGTCTCGCATAAAAACATTTCCCCAGGTTTATATAGTCCATCCATTCAGTCGACACGTCAAAGTCGACTATAAATTCAAAAGAGAACACGAATAATACTTTGATGCGCTTCTGACCGGAAACAAAGGATTTATTTGTTCTGCTCTGATTAAAGTTGAAACCCAAACGATAAAGCGAACAATAGCACTCATATGTCATACAATACTTTGGTTCACCTAACAAGGTCATTTTACGTATAATAATATTCCGATAATATGAATATATTCATATTATGACATATATATATGATAGGCTTTTCAAATTTTATCTATCGCATTATTTGAGTACTTCACTTTTGAGGATTATGGTTTATCAAATTAAAAATAAGGTGGAATAATCCCAGCAGATTATTTCAAACAAAGTACAATGATATAATAATATAATTCAAAAATATATGAACATTTTTTGCAATATTCAACTGATTTATAATTTAAATAAACATAGAAATCTTTCGAAGTGCTGGTGGCTCCGTGCATTTGTATTTCTTTCTTTTGGTATGTGTTGCCCATTCTTACACTTGGCTGCACCATACTGATAATGGGTCAAAAGCCCGAAACACGTGTCTATGGTTTGTTACATATATATATATATATATATATATATATATATATATATATATATATTTCCCAAGACCTACGACTTTGTAGGTACGTGTGGCAGATACCCAACGGAAAAAACAATAACTAACCCAGCTAATGCCGCACAGAGAGTTGAAGTGAAACCATCAAGCACCTGTGCAACGTCTTCGACTTGGAAGATTCTTCGCAAGTTATTTCCCACTATGAAAAGCAGAAATTGATTTCATTTGGTTGATGCGACCAACCAATAGACCGGTTTCGGGGTGTTTGTCCACCATCAGTACCTCGCAAGCGGTCCTAGCTGCCTTAATACAGGCACCCGGACAACAGGTGGAAAGAACGGTACGAAGACTATAACAACGTAAGGATAACGCGCAACCCCTGGTACCGACAGCTCCCGAGGAAGTGAAAGACATTCTAAGACGTCTAACCACTCGGAAAGCACCAGGCCCGGACAACATAACAAACCGGGCACTGAAATATCTACCGCGCAAGGGTACAGCAGCCATAACTAACATCATAAATGCTATACTCAGATTGCAGCACTTCCCGTACCAGTTCAAAGAGGCCACGGTTATCCACATCCCGAAGACCAAGAAGAACCACCTGTTCCCAGACAACCGCAGGCCAATTAGCTTACTTCCTTCCGTAAGCAAAGTGGCGGAGCGTGTCATCTTGAAGAGACTCGAGGACCAAACCAGAGAGCTAGGGATCCTCCCTGACGAATAATTCGGTTTTAGATCAGAACACTCAACAGAGCTACAAGTCCTGAGGGTAGAAGACTTTACGACCGAAGGCTTCAACCTTGACAAAGGACACAACACCGGAACCATCTTCTTAGACGTCTCCAAGGCGTTCGACAGAGTTTGGCATGACAACTACTGGACAAGATGAGCGATTTTGGATATACAAGACCAATGGTAAGATTATTTCAGTCTTTTCTAACTGACAGGCGATACCGTTGCAGAGTATGAGACGAATTATCAACAGTTCGACTACTGGAAGCAGGAGTCCCGCAAGGAGCAGTCCTTTCGCCACACCTCTTCTCCGTATACACAGCGGACGTGCCCTCTGTGCCTGGGGCCAGTGCGCACAGACATACAGGAAGAGGATACAGTCGTTCATAAACGCGAGCGTAAGGGCCGCTAAGAACGCACCGTACTACATCCCCAATAGATTTATATACAGAGACTTAGACCTGGACACGCAATATGTGGACGTGCATATGAGAGAACACGCAGAAAGCGTGTTCGATAGAATCAGATCGCACAACAACCCAGCGCTACGCGATCTACACGATGCGTTGAACATGGATGACCCCACGTTCCGAGAAAGGGGCAAACATCCAAGGCAGACGAAACCGAATCTACGACCACCCCCACGAGTCGCCGACAGGCGACTCCGGTAAGCATATTAATCAGACTTTCTTTCAGCAAGTTCACCGCAGAACAACTTGACCGCGATTCAATTATCCCTATATTCACTGAGGAACGCTCGACGCTGATAACAATAGCCACCAGTTAGTTTTTGGGGGCCCCCATGCAAAACATTCTTACCGATTGCTAAAGAATAGCACCTAAAGGCCGACTTTCGACCAAAAGAGGTCAGATGTCAATCGTGCTGAAATGCCCATCAGTAAGTTGAGGACCGCTCGGAGAGCGAGGGTGGATGGAGTGGGGTAGTAGGCTCTCCTCGCTAACTAGCTGGGGGGGGGAAGCTTCTACTTCAGGGCACTCAACCCTGGAGGGGGCATGGGGGGGTCCGGAGCATGCATCAGCCCTTTTACCTACTTATGTACTTACTTTACAGTACTTATGATGCACTGTTTGGAACCTTTGGTGTGGTAATTAATATTACTGGAGTTTTTTCCGACACCAAATCGTTATTTTTAACACCTCGACACGTGTTTCGATCACCAAGTGATCATCTTCAAAGAGGAAGATTAAAACTATCTTTTTAATCTTCCTTTTTGAAGATGATCACTTAGTGATCGAAACACGTGTCGAGATGTTGATAATAACGATTTGGTGTTGGGAAAAACTCCAGTAATATTCCTTTTACCAGTAATTGGTCCCCAATAACTTCCCATAGTTTAGGCTTCATATCACTATTATGGAAATCCTTGTTCCGCTGGTACCACAGGCGAGGCTCATCTCTCACAAGAATTATCAAAATCTCTATCAATTTTATTATTCATTATTACCACTGAAAGATCGGACTAAAAACCAACACTTTTGATTTGACTACTCGTCAGTCAGTAATCGTTAGTGATCGTTTATTGTCGTATCGGACTACCCTTTCCAATGAAGGCACCTACTTTAAAACCTAAGTGTTTGTTTTCCTTCCGATGTCGTCCGATGGTCGTCCCACATCGGGTCGGGAGAAATACGGATTCAATATAGGTGCAGCCTTTGAAACTCAAGTGTTTGTTTTTCTTCCGATGTCATCCGATGGTCGGACTATATCGGGTCGGGAGAAATACGGATTCAATGTAGGTGTAGCCTTAGCTGGGTTAGTCGTTGTTTTTTCCGTTGGGCATCTGCCACACGTACCTACAAAGTTGTAGGTCTGCATGAGAGGAAAGGGGCAACAATTTATATTCTGTAAACGAATAATTGCACATAATATTTTGTCTATTCTACAAATGGTTTTTTCTTTACACCTTCCCATCCAAGGGTACCATAATTCAATTGGGATTATATTGAAGAGAAATAGAGAATTTCAAGTTCAACCGTAAACATTTTTTCGAATGATAAAATCTTAGTTGATCACATCTCGCTATATTATATGAGAAATTTGATAATTCCATCTTAAATGCATATCAATCATAATAACTAAATATTTTATTAACTTGGTCTTGAATTTGAAAATCATTTTTTAAATTTTGATTTTACCCGTATCTGCAGAGAATTTTCATAACTAGTAAATAAGATTTTCAATATTTATTGTTAAGTTCCTATTGAATTATTCCACAACATTTTCTAAATCCTTATGTACATAGATTTTAAATTCATTCCAAGTGATTGCGATGTATGAAATACCATCAGCAAAATATATACTTGACAAATTGAAGGAACAATTTATGAAATAGTTTCTTCGTTATCTATAGAAGGTTTACATGAAGACGTTAATTTAATCAATGAGAAACCTCAACCAATCTTAACGGAGACTGACCAAAAATTGAGCGACAGCGGAAATGCACAAGAGTCATGGCCCACATATTTGAGGATGCATAACTCCAAGATTGTAGATAATTTCGTATTCCCCATATTATAGGGGTGTATACACAAACTTATTCGCCATCTTAGGTCCATCATTTTATATTTCGAATTTTTCAGCAAACCCTTTCATTCAATACCCATATCAAGATAGTGCTTCGAAAATAATGTTCCGCCATCTTGGGCGGTCCACTATATTGGATGTAGAACTGATACACATATACATACATACATACAAAGCAAGTTAAGTAAAAATTTTGTAATAATAACAATAAAAATGCACCAAATTTATCAACTTCTATTCGAGACTTACCCTTCCTCAATTTTGTGAACGACCAGGAAGTCGAAGTGAAAGTGATATTTTCAAATTCCAAATCTATGGCCTGTTTCTTGAGGAAAACGTGATCGTTTTTCATACTCCGCTCTATGATATGGAAATTATTATTGTTGCAGTTTTCTTCCAAAGGACTTATGAAAATGTCCTTTGTTTCACATGTCACGTCTTTTCCGTCTGTTGACAAGGATGTTTGAGAATCATTGAATTGGCAACATTTCAAAGAATTGCCACTCGTAGTGCATTTACTTCTGTCTTCTCTAGCAGACTCTGAAGGATTCTGAAAAAAAAACAAAGATTGAAGATTTGCAAAATATTTGCATCTTGAGAAACTTCTGAAATTTCATTTAGTTGAATTGAATTAAACTGGCTGATATTTGATTGAAATCTAATTTAGACCTCTACAATATTCCTCAAGCAGGGTTGATGAGGTCCTGCAATATAATCATTGCAGAGGTTGCCATTTGTTTGATTGTATTTTTGAGAACAAAGTATATATGCCTTTTTTGGGAAAGAAAGTTTTTGGCTTTCTACTACTCCATCTGATACAAAAAAATGGATGAGAGAATCTTCCAAAGAAGTATATATGAAAGTAGCTGTTTCAGGAGGACTTTCTTTCATAATACTTGTCAAAAAAATATAATTATACTAATTTCTTTTTATTAGAATTATGCGGATAGTTTTGACAGTGTGGGCATTTCAATTTACTTCGAAAACAGGTACTGACCCGATTTCTCAATAAGTGACAAGAGTTTCGGTATTCCAATTCATATAATATTTTTGAATATAGATTGAAGTTTCCTCTTCAGTGGAGTTGTCCTAGCACATACCAACAGACTCATTCACGGTGGATGACACATTAGACGTTTCCGGTGATCCAGAAACCGGATCACTGGATCAATGGAGAGCACATTCGTACAATCTCTACCCAACTAGAATATTTTCCACAAGGCGCTGTTGCCACATCCTTTAGAAGGTGGTAGCATCTTTGATTTTTCAAATGAAACACCCTGTATATATTATTATTTTTGGAACCTATAACAATTACGCGATAACTTTTTGCTTTTTCTGAATACATATCTGTTACAGTTTTCGAAATATAAATTAATTTTAATTTTTTCTTCGGAAACCATGACCTCTTAAAATGCTTTGAGTTAAGGAATACTATGGTACCAAAATTTAGTTTGGAGTTAGGTGGAGTTAGAGGCTTCCCACACTTAACGTAATTTCCGTTAGTTCAATACAGATATATAATACAGTTTTTTCGTTTGTTTGAAAAAGTGACTGAAAGTTGATTATTTCAAATAGAACACCCTCTGTATTATTACAAATTCAGAAAGCTGTTAAAATTAGCTTTTCTTTTTGAGTAAATCATGCGTATACCTAACTAGTCAAGTTTCGGACTTGTGAGCATTTATTTGTGAAAATGTCCCTTTAGAATGGTATTTCCATTCGGTATTTCCTGACCAGACCATGATAACTATTTGACAGTAACGTTGTGACATTGTACAAGAGAAGTGAGCGGAGCACTGGACATACTTTTTGATGATCGTTGGATATGGCGGTTGGGACCATGGAATTGGCCAGCGAGATCACCCGATCTTAATCCTTTAGATTTTTATCTGCGTGCAATGTTTGATGAACAATTTTACAAAACACCTCTGCGTTCAAAAGAAGAATTGTTAGAGAGAATTATCCAAACATTTGAAGATTTGGATCCCAATAAAATCAGATCTGCCACGACGAAAGCAGTATATCAATATCATTAGGAAAATGTCACAACGTTACTGTCGAATAGTAATCATGGCCTGTTCACAATGATAATACCATTCTGAAACGACATTTTGACAAATTAATGCTCATTAGTCCGAAACTTGACTAGTTAGGTATATTCATGGTATACATAGAAAGAAATCAATGCTACACAGGGTGTTTATTCAGTAATTTTTTCAAGCAAACGTAAAAACTGTATTTTTACCAACCTGTATTGAAGTAACGGAGATAACGCTGAAGTGAGGGAAGCCTCCAAGTATCACCCAACTCCAAACCAAATTTTGTTATCAAAGTATTCCTCAACTTAAAGATATCATCATTGAGGTCATGATTTCCGGGGAAAAAATTGAAGTAAATTCATATTTCGAAAACGGTAACAGATAGGAATAGGAAAATATCAAGAAAAGTTGTCGGATAATTTTTGTTGATTCCAAAAATAAAATTATATACAGGATGTTCCATTTGAAAAATCAAAGTTGCTACTACTTTCTAATGGAAATGGCAACACCGCATTGTTATAAATGTCCGAATACGCTCTCCATTGAATTTTAAAAGTAATTCGCTGTCTGGTTCACCAGAAACATCTAATGTGTCATCCACTGCGAACCAGCCGGTACACTGGCATTGTTTACTATAGTCCAGCGCATATGTGACACTGAAACTATAAATGAAGTTAAGCCCCGTTTGAGAATATTTTTATGGAAAACCAATATTTCACGTAAAGATTCATGAAAATATACGAAGTAGCCGAAACCTGTAGAATTTGCTTCAATATTGCAGAACAAAAAATTAAAATAATTTTTTGGAAAATTTCAAATCAAATAATGTCAGATAGGTACCTGACCCATTCCTTTAAAAAATTTTCGAATAATTTTTTTAAGATCAAAGTTGTCGTAACAAATATGCTTGCCATTCCAATCTTACTCTACTCGTTTGGAGTAGTGAAGTGGACTCGGGAGGAGCTGTATCAACTCAACGTAAAGACCCGAAAAATGATGCATCTCAATAGGAGTTTGCATTCCAAATCGTCCGTTCCACAGTTGTACTTTCCCCGATAACAGGGAGGCCGTGGACTTTTTCGACACTGAACGAGGTGACCACAACTCTGTCACCGAGTTGGAACCCGTTCAGCAAAAAGCTCAGATAAAAGCCGCAGAGATCACCTTACTTCTGCGGAAACACAAGGATAAGCCAATGCATGGGGTCTTCTTCACTAACATTGGAGACTTTGGCTTACCAAAACGTCTGACCTTCGCTTTTCTGAGGTCGAGTGGGCTGAAGTCGGAAACTGAGGGGTTCACCATGGCTTGTCAGGATGGTGTCTTCAACACCTTAGTCTACCGCAGTCGCGTGATGGGTAAAGAGGTTCCGGACACAAGGTGCATGGCCTGCCGCGAGACATGCTATCAGCATGTCCAGCATATGCGGTCTCGGCCTATTTCCATCGACATAACGCAGCCCTAAGAGTGCTATATTACCATCTACGGCACTCTTACGGTATTGACGAGACACCGGTGTTGCCCTACGCTCCGGGGGATATTGAATCCGTTGTGGGGAACGAGAAGTGCCGAATTTATTGGAACCATTCGTTCCCCACCCTCAAGCTCATGCAAGCTAATAAGCCTGATGTGGTCCTTCTCAACCACCAGAGCAAAACGATATTTGTCGTGGAGTTTTCAGCTCCTAGCGAGACGAATATCGTCAGAAAAGAGGAGGGAAAACGGATTAAATATCGAGATTTTCTCTTCGAACTCCGCAGATTCTATCCAGATCACTCTGTCAAGATGGTTGTTCTGATTAAGAGTCCTTGGTGGAATGATGTCCTCTCTACTCTCGAATCTTAAAGTCTTACCGGCTTGCCGCACTACGGCAGAAATCTTAGCCGCACAGATGCAGAAGCTGTCATTCTTGGCTCACTACGCTTGCTCAGGGCACATGATTCTCGGACCCAACGGTGAAAGCATCTCTCACGTTATGGCTGGTAGTATTCAATTTCTTCCTTATGATTTCAGTCATTACTTTTATTACAGTCGTATATTTTTTTTTCAATGATTCTATTCGATGAACATCTAAAGGTTTTGATAATCCTGTATCACATCGCGTCTTGCGTTGATGAGGTTCGTTTTTGACTATTTTACGTACAGTTGAGAAAGGAATTTCGGTCAAATCTGATATTGCTTGTAATATTTTGTTTCCTTCGAAACTAAACTCGAGATGTAGATTCTTAACTACATTGAAACATACTCTGTGTTTTAATATTCACATTCATCCGAATCTTATTTACTGGTATCTCTTTTTCGCAATGTTCACCATGGCTATTGGAATCATTACACTGGAAAAAGACTGCATTGTTATCACCCTCGATATTACTAGTACTCGTTCAAGGACGCCACATTTTGAATAGATAAAAAAAATTTAAGTAATTATAACTGCACCAATATAGAATTTCAACACTCAAATTACGATCAGTTCCTGAACTGAACACGACGGCGATATCACCATTACATGATTTCAAATTTAACTTTGTGACTGACTCTTCAGTCAATCATAAAACTCGGTTAGTAAAAATTATTCTGCAGTCTATGTGGAGGACTATTTCGCAGCCGGTTCATTTCTATGTATTGGTTTTTCGAGAGTGCCTTCAAATAAATGCTCACAATATCGTTTACTTCGACTATATCATGTATGTAGTAACATATATATATGATGGCATTGGCTGATACTTGATAAAAATCCATAACTAACGTATTAAAAAAACACTTTATTGTGAGACTTTCACTAAACAGTTTTACAAAAACGCAACACATGTTTCGCCATAGAATGACGTCTTCGAACGTGTCTCTAAAGACACAATTAATAAAAAGCAATCTTTGTGGTTGCACTATTTATCAGTTTAAGATAAAAATCGGCAAAAGATCTTTAAAGAACAGAGGGTAAGTTTCATGTAAGTCTGCAGAAAAATACAAAATTCATTTTTCATTTGTTCATACTATATTTTCTTGATTACAGATTACGCTTACTAGGTATATTAGACAGTTATCACTTAACATGCCTTTGTGAACTTCTCTGAAATCATTTTGAATTAACAAATTCTTTGGGATATAAAACTAAAATTAATTATAACATCTTTAGAGTTCTCTATCCCTATTACGTTTGAATACAGCTGTCAGATATCATTTTCTGCGTGACAATTGTCAAGAAGATTTAGTAGGAGATATTTTTTTATCTTCAATCGATAATAATCCAAAACTTTTGCCTATTTAACCTAATAATTATATTTGTGTAAGGCGTTTCGCTACCTTTTTATAATTCAACAAGTTATTTCTTAAAAAATTAGGGACTGACTGTTCGGTAAAAAAAAGTTAGAAGACCAAAAAGCTATTGAGACTACTGAAATTGTTTGTTTTTTGTAAACATTCAGCATGTAATTTCATAACATCAGTAGTAGTTTTTTCAGTATATAATTGAATTGATTTACGAAAGAGTGAAAAAATATTTGGAGTTTTC